TATATAAAATTTCATTTAAATGCAAAATCTGATTATATTTGCTTACACTTACAATGTGTTGATATTATGTTTTATATCCTGCCTCTCCTTGACCTTCCTTGTCCTCCAGGGCTGAGCAGATTTTCCAGGTCCATTACAACAGTGGAAGAAGGTTTATGTGTCTAGTTGTCACTCAGCCCGTGTAAGATCCCCATCAAACAGCTAGGGATAGTTACTACACCACAGTCAGCCCTGTTTGAACAAAGGACTCCATGACTGTGTGAATGACACTTCTGATAAGGTAGATATTTTAGGAAACAAGCAGAAACATTTCGAGGATATTACCACTAGACAGGCATTTGTATTACCCAAGAGTTCAGCACTTTCAATATGTCATAAAATGTCAAAAAGCCGTTTTTTGCAGCCACAAGTATAAATTGGGACCCATTCCACTTAAACAGAGGACACTATATTTGTATAAAATAGTGTAAAGACGGTGTCAATCTCAGACCATTACCAGTACAGCTGAAGATAAACAACACTGTGGCTCTGCAGGTAAAGTTACCAGGTAAGTGGATAAAGAGTTGTTGTTAGTATATTGTGCTCTGCCAAGAAATTAAGAAATAAGTAGAAATTAATAAAAAGGTTCAATAAAAGAGGCTATAATGTGCATCAATCTATTGCAAAAGCTTTTAATAGTAAAATTATGACTTATTTGCAGCTATGGGACTTACTTGTGGCTATGGTTTATTTCTGACTGTATGTCGTGAAGTTGTTTTCCGAGTGCAGAAGGAAGGTAAAATAAACATTCTATTTTCTACAAAAGCTTAGGTTCTATTTAAAAATCTTGTCAACCAGAAATGGGGAGGAGTGTCTGAGTAAGAGCAAACATAAAATGACTCATTATCTTCTGATAAATCAAGGCACAACAGACAATGTATTTATCCAGCAGTACGATCACATGTTCACATTATTTTGATCAGGGATAACATTAGCCAGCTAAGCTCCACATCTGAACAGCACTTTAGCATCCAGCTTTTCATTGGGTCAGCAAACAGTCGCAGTGAACTAAGTACTCACTGCACTGAAAGGTGGTCAAAATTGAAATTTCTGTTCTGCAGGAAACCCTGACACTTCAAAATTTGATTATGCTCTAAATCAGAAAGAATGTCGCTACTTCAGAATTTCCCATTAAACAGACGTGTTGAAGAAAAGATATTCAGGAATCTAAACCAAAAGCATTTTGGTAATCACAAAACAATTTATTTTTATGTAATTGAATGGTTTAAGTTTGATATAGTTAGAATCTTTGCATCAATTGTATCTAAATGCTGTCTGAACCATTTTAGATTACATTTTTATGTTATCATGGTAATATAGTTAACATTAATATATAATGTAAAAGGCAGGACAAAATAAAGAATGGGAATTACTAAACCAGAAGATTTTTACAAAACTGAAATAATTATGTTGGACAGTTCTCTGTGGATATCTGCACTGTACCTAAAATCTTAAAATAAGACTATCCTTCATTCACTGGTAAAAAACCAGAACAATCCTCCCTCTCCCTGCCCCAAAATTACTCAGTTGAAAACCGTGATTAGGTCTGGCCTCTCTGAAGTGACTGGGAGTTCTGGTATTGACATCAATTCAGTCAGAACTTTATTTGCTGATTTCAGATGGACTACCTGTGTACTTGAAAACATGCAAACATGAGTCCTGTATTGATCTGGAACCTTTATAACAAAACTTCAAAGAAAATGATGCCATCGAAATCTCAGCTGAGAGGATAGAGCAAGACTCCTAAACATAATGCATAAACTCTCAAAAAAAGCAAAAGCATTGTCTAGCCAGATTCTGAGTCCATTTTCTATTAATTTACATCATCTGGAACAACAGCAAAAATAGATTATTTCAAAATTAGTTTGACCAGTCCACCAATTTTAAAGTATTTTCAACCACAGGAAAATACTGACACTATTTTTATCATACACTTAGAAAAAAATCATTACTGTTACTGCATTATTAAAATCTGCATACCTATAAATAAGGTAGTGATTTCCATCATTAAGCAGACATTGTTCTCAACAGTCAATATAATAAAACTAAACCATGTAGTAAGATAAACAAAAAAAGAATTCACCCAGTGTGGGTCAATATGCCTCAGGCACATCTATTATATGCACATCTGCCTACAGAGCAGATTGCTATCATCTAGTGTTATCAAAAGGTTCTATGTATTTCTCAGGAAACAGGCACACACACTTTCAATAAATCATGGTGCTAAATATATGTTCCTCTGTTGGTAAGACATTGCCTTCCCTTTTGGTTATGCCTGAGAGAGAATGTTTCTTTCTTTTTTTGTGAGTTCAGATAAAAAAAAAGAGTAGATTCTCCTCTTCCTTCCTGCCTAATCCCTTGATCTTGTGCTTTATTGCAGACTTGAAAAGCCTTGTGGGACCCTTTTGTCATGGAACAGGCAGGGCTTCATTGCCAAGCCCATCCACACTGCCCACCACTTTTCTGATAGTACCTGGGAGACAAATTCTTTTGGATGTCCACTGGCCTGAATATAAACATGAAGCTCCTTACACCATTTTAGATGTATGATCTTAAACAGATCTTACATCATTTTAGGCCAATACAGTCTGAAGGGACATCCCCACTGCTGCAAATCATAAAAGACTAACAACCATCTCCATCTACCTCCAAAACTATCAGCCAGTGCAAAGTAAAAGGTGTCTTAATTTCCAACACTAGAGAAGCATATTTAAAATAAAGTAGAAAACAATACTTCAAGTATGAATCACGCAACAGAACAGACTGCAAAACTGCATTGAAATTTTCAGAATGCTCACTTAAAGGCTCCTTGTTTTCTTTAAATAAATATTTATTTTTGGTACAATAACTCGGCATTTTTGTATCAGTAGGTGGAATGCATACTCTAAGCTAAAATTCATAAGAGTATAAGCTAGAGTTTTGCAAATACTTTCACCCAAACAGATGACTGTATTTAATACTGCAGTATAACCTTGCCTAGTTTCTCAAATAAATTTGCAAAGGGAGTGGATTACTCTGAGGATAATTAATGTGATAGGGAGGTGGGGTTTTTTTCTCTTGATGTCATTATTTGAAACTGTCTAAATTAAATTGCTACATTAAGTAACCTGGGGCACTAAATGGAATTTGAACCCTACTCCCTAGGTACAGCAATTTAGCAGCAAACAAACTTATGTCACAAAGCAGACTATTCAAGCATAAGAAAGTACCTCTGTCAACCCTGGGCAAAGAGTGACTTACTTATTTTCCCAGTGGAAATACACCACAGAGATGGAAACTGAACAGGGATCTCCCAAGTACCAAGGCTTTCAATACAAGTCCCAGCTATGACAGTGGAAGAACCTGCACTGACCCCACTGGATCTATATTAGAACTATGGCAGCCAGATACAAGACAAAACAGAGATGGGGAACAAGGAAGCATCCACTGAAATGCTAGGTTAAGGGCCAACTGTCTGTGTTGGCAGATATGATGTACCATTTTGACAATGCAAGTCCACTGAGGTTCTCTAATCCCCATTAAGTATTGCAGAACATTGTCAAAGAATTTTCTGCGTTTTAAATGTACAAAGAAATATTAAATACCTTGCTCTATCAATGCATATTTTTACCTATGTTTATTAATTATCTCTATGAACAACAAAAACAAATAAGGTGTTTAACAGTGATGAGAATTAATGGCCTGATAGAATGTGTAAAAGTTTCACTAAAAACTTGTAGCTAATAGCCAGAGGTCAACATTACCACAGGCATAAAACTAGAGAAACATCCATAAAAGGATGATTCCAGACCAATTAAGGTTCAGCAAACATTCAGCATCTGTGGGTTCCTTATGGTCTTTATTAAGTCAGAATGAAAGGGTTATGCTCATAATTCTGTATTCTTTTTTCTTTTTTTTCCTTTATGTTTAAAATCCTTCGCTGCATTTAATCACTTTTGGTGTCTTTCCTTCTTCTTTGCAGCAATTTTGCCTGAGCGCTCCTGGGAGTAGTGTTGCATTACAGATTCATCAAGGATTTGCTGCTTACTCTACATTATCCCACAAGTGCTGAGGCAAACAGTTCTTCACCAGGATCAAATGATGTTCTATATTCGCCCATAGTTTAAAATCTTGTTAATGTTGACACTTCTGACGAAAGCCTGACAGTGACACTGGAATGAGTGTAACCTGCAGGCTTTGGTGACTGCCAAATAAACAGGTACCCAGGGCATAAAGTTTTTTCTACATCCTCTATATGCCCACAGGGGCATCATCAATTTAGGCAATATCTTTTCCAGAAACAAGGTCAAATAAAACACTAACACACCCTGTCTGTAGGTGATGTTGCTGATGGGTGACAGGGTGACTATTTGCTATGTTGCTAAACCAGTGTGTCTGAGAAAGAGTTTTGCTCTAAAGTCAATTAACTTTAATGGAAAGACTCCAAATTACTTCAATGATCTCTGGACCAAGCTCAATAAGAACTAATTAGGTCTCCATTCCAAAGGTTAGTTGTCAGAATTATTTATGGCTTTTTGTTTGTTTGTTTTTAATATTGGACAAGAGGGTCTTTTTTAATTATTTAGAGGAACTGACATCACTTCGAAAGTCATAAATTGCAAATACAGGTGCCAGTATTTAAAAATTTAATTTCAGGTTATCAGACAAGTAGAAAAATTTTACACACTGTGCAAACACAATCCACTTCATGGGGACAAAGGCAATAAAAACTACAGTTAGTGACACCTGTAATTTAGTTCTGTGGTATTTACTACACTCCACAGCCTTACTAAACCTTTCATGTGTTCTACAAGAATACAACTAAGTTTCCTGACTATAGCTTCCAATTCTGACAACAAAACCTAGGATCTAGTCCAGAGCTGGACTTTTCAGAACTCATCTCACTCATTGTGCATAAAACTCCTAACACAGAAGATTATACAAGAGAGAACATACTCGAAGAAAGAGAGGGATACAGGTACCTTATGTAGAAGTGATACCACAGCAAATGGCTGAGCAGTCTCAGTACTATCTATGATTTATTTATTCTGTCAGCAGATCATCACCTGCAAATCAAATTAAGAAATGCTCAAAATCTGAAAGTCACAAATTAGACCAGAGTGAATTATATGATGTCATTTATCTCACAATCTTCCTCCTATTTTTTCTTCCTTTCTTTTCCTGGAAACTTAAAGTTCAAAGTACAATAAACATAATATAATCAAATTGCACTTACAGCATACAAGACAGGAAATAGAGATGTAGTTCTTCACTGCGAATTGGTCAGACAACAAAATTATTTAATTTGGAGCGTAGTCTTCAAAAAAAAGACCTAAAATCAGCTTTTGGATACTAGAGTCCAATTCTCTCTGGCACTAACAAAATGTCAAGTCATTTTCTAGCAAAACATGGGTCTGCACCTTTGCTGAGCTCTGAAAACCTAGTTATAGGAGAGGAGAGTCTGTCTTTGTGGTATAATGGAGAGGATGAGAGGAAAGACATAGCTCACACCCTCACATGGTGTGAGAGCCAAAGGCAGAGAGCCAAAAAGCTCTTCCTGTAGGCAGAGACAGCCCTTCTTTCTCTCCGATAGGGACTAACCCCCCTGAAAGGGAGTAAAGGAGGAGGGTTGCTCTCCTCTCCTCCATCTCCTGTTCACCAAAGTGAAGTGAATTCTGGCACAGAGATTTTCCACAGGCTGCCCCCACCTGCCCCTTTGCCAGAGACCTTGTCAGCTGAAACGTGTACCTGCTCCATACCCGCTCCAAGCCCCAGGTCACTCACTGTCTTAAAGCAGATGAGACACCAGGGTACAAATAGAATGCACTGAAGGTCACCTGATGGAAGTCAGGGTGGACACAAGTATATGCACACACTCATCACTTGCTCTGTGTTTGGACACAAATCCCTGGCAAACAGGTTTGGTCCGAAGTGTTGGTCTGCAGGGCTAGGTTGCAGTTAATAGTCTCTTGCAGAGCTTTAGGTCAACTGCAGTTTTTAGAAGCAGTGACACTTCACTTGAGCTGAAGACAATGAAGATGTGGGCAAACAGACTTTCTGAAAAGCAGTTTCTCAACAGTCATAAAATCACAGAACCATAGAATGGTTTGGATTGGAAGGGATCTTAAAGACCATGTAGTTCCAACCCCCCCTGTCGTGGACAGGGACACCTTCCATTAGATCAGGTTGCTCAGAGCTCCATCCAACCTGGCCTTGAACACTTCCAGGGATGGGGCATTCACAGCTTCTCTGGGCAAAGTCTTGTAGTTGCACTGAGTAACAGTTACCGAGATTTCTAAGAAATAGACAGACAGTAAAAAATATTTTGGATTAATATGAAGAAAAATTGGAAGAGCTTACATGCACTACATGCTTGTGCCAACCCCAGCCTAAAGTTAATTACGATGTGTAAGCATCTTTTCAACTTGTGCTAAAAATAATAAAAGAACTGGCATTAATTTATGGCCAGTCAATCTGAAAGATCCATAATGTGGAAGTTTTTAACAAGCTGCTGTCCAACATTTTTGACATGTTTTAAAACAAGCCATCCTGATCAGCCCTGTAGAGGGTAATGCTTCTAAGCTTAATGACTCTCCAAAGAGGAGGAGGCATAAAGATTTAGCGACTCAGTAGACATGACTTCACAGACCTCTGCAGCCAGCTTGGAAATGACAAATGATTTTTTAATAGAGAAGCTTTCTTTTTGTATTATTTTTTGCCGATGAAGTGAAAACAGAGCATTGATTAAGCAATCTAAGCTGAGAATATTCTATCCAAACTGGAGAGCTTTCAAACCAGCTGCTGGTTTCAAGGCTTTGAAATACAACTCCTGCTTGTTGCTTGATGCTTAAAGATACCTATCCTGGAGCCACAGACAGTGACTGATGCCAAGCTGACACAGATGTATTTCAGCTGTGTGGGCCATGCCATTCGCACAACACTTGTGTAAAAAAATGCTTTCTGTCTCAAATGCTACAAACTAAGAGAAAGAATTAATAGAGACATCAACAAAAAAGTTCTCTGTACAAATAGAGTATGACTGAAGAATACCAATAGCCCAACATGTTCTTAACTCACCATCACCCTTCTCTGCCACCTGTCAGAAGAAATCATTTGTACAAAAATTCAGATGGAGCCTTTCACTCACAACACTGTGTTTCTGCACAGAATTTTACAGAAGTCACCCTACATATTCAACTGTTAATAAGAACTAGGTGTCTGGAGGGAATTAAAAATATTTGTGCGATTTTTCCCCTTGCAGAAAAGAATTAAATTTTCCACGGGAGTTTTAAATACAAGCTTCTGGCCCTCACAGATGTTAAAGTTTGAGTGATTCATATTCTCATTCCCTTGTGTAGCTACATTATTAGACTGTATTCCCCTCAATTCATCAGAGAATACACTATGTCCATAATCATAAAGCAGAGATAGTGGCATGTCATGGAAGACTAGGTCCAAACAGGAAAACAAGCCCCTAAGCAGAAAAGGAACAAGAAGTATCTAAATTGTAATACTCAGAAGGCATTATGGAGCCTTTTTAAAATTAAAAAATGTATGATTTTGTCGTTGACCATTTTGGGATTTTTTATTAAAAAAAACCTGCAAAAGGAACATGCCTTTCACTACAAATATTTTAACACACCAATTTTAACACACCGTTGCAATGAGAAATTTTCACCTTAATCAGGTCAGTTTGTTTGGATGACTGCTGAGTAAATAGCTATGCCATGCTATCTGTATTGCAGCTCTTGCTCCAGAGATAAGAAAAATCAACACAGACATATAAGCCAAGTAAAAAATATGCTTTATTTCTAACAAATAAGCATTACAAGAATGGTATGTTTATTCAACTAGTGATCTCTACATTTTACACATCCAAAAATTAAACCAGTTATTCTTGTCTCTCTGAATTTTAAATCAACACACATCACTCTAAAAGGCTGTTAACAAAGGGATTGTCCTTCATGTAGCAGAATTGCTTTCCTGAAAAGTTCATGGAAGAGTACAAATCCTAAGGCTAAGATCCCGTTTTCTGAAAATTTTGCTCAGAAAACCAGTACATATACTAGAAGGGGCAGATTTCCATTACTGTGATTTAACATCCCCATTTAATCTATTATCTCCACATCCTTGATGGAAAAATTTCCAATTGTTTGAATACCTTCTTCTTCCCTGAAAAAAACCCCCAAACAATCAGAAAAAGGGAACAGAAATTTGTGTTGACTGTTTCAGAACAGAGACTGGGGGAAAAAAACGCTACCAGTGATAAAATTATTAGTACTTTTTGTTGTTGTTGTTAAAATGAATTACTGAGCACAAGATTTGTTGGGTGAGTAAAAGTAAAGTTGGGTGAGCCTTCTTGTAGCGCTCTCTGCAACATTATGCTGGTATCTGAAATTCCATTCATAGTCTTAGAACCATCTTGATCAGATTTTCCTTAAAATTCCTTAACATTATGCAAGCACCTTGATAAGATTTGTTGCTCTTCTTTTTGCAAATCATAAAATCATAAAATCATAGAATGATTCATAGAATCATAGAATGTTAAGGGGTGGAAGGGACGTTAAAGACCATCTAGTCCCAACTCCCCTTACCTGGTCAGGGACACCTCTCAATAGACCAGGTTGCTCAAGGCCTTATCCAACCTGACCTTGAACACTGCCAGGGTTGGGGCATCCATAACCTCCCTGGAAAACCTGTTCCAGTATCTCACAAGCCTGACAGTTAAGTGTTTCTTCCTAAGTACAGTTAGTACCAAGTACTATTTCTTTCTTCCTAAATATAGTACATGGTTTCACTGCCAGAGAGGGAAGTAATAGCTCTGTACATACAGGAGATGACACTCTATAAAACAAAATTCTGCTTTCTTTTCTTTCCTATAACCAAGGATCCTGTCTTGATGTGAAGATCACACAGCAGGTAAGTACTGAAACACACACAGATTCCTTACTAACCCCTCCTGAATCTTTCTGACACACAGAGAAGTGACATTCCAGCTGAGTTTTATTCATCAAATTTGGATTCACAGATGCTACTGAAGTAAATGGATGTATTTATACACAAAAGAGATTTGAAGAGGGTTTTTTTTCATTCTCACAGCAAAAAATTACACTATTCAAAGTACCTGTGTCCATGAGATTAAAAAAATTTCTTTTCTCATTAACTATTACTTTAAATTTATTTTATAATTTATTTGTATTGGAAAAAGTATTTATAAGTAGAAACCACAGGAGAGTCACAATTCAGGTCACATTTGTGTGGCTCACCAGCTAATCTGAAAATCTAAATCTATTGAGACTTTCTAATATCTTCCCAGAATTGTGTGTCATATTACTTATGAATAGACTCAATTCAAGAGGAAGCTTTCTAAATACCAAAAAATATTTTCTTCTTTGTCATCTACTTCTTTGTTCAGTGAGCTTATGCGTTTTGCTCAAAATTTGTAAATTAACACACAAATCGGGTTTTGACCCGTCCACTGCCTCCTCCCTGTAGGAGATTAATGGCTAAAGAATAATCCTACTGGATTGGCTAAAAAATGCAATGGCACCAGTAGAGAACATACCATGCTTCCCCCTTTTACCAATTGCTTTGTATATAGTGACAGATTATTAAAGTAAGTGAAACAGCAGGAAAATAAATGAAATTTTGTCTCCTTTCATTCCCAGTATCCTACTGTAATTTCCTACTCCTGATAATGACTCTAGTAGATGAAAAAGGGAAAAACCTTCCTGCAACTGAGAGAAAGACTGAGAAGTCAAGGGGACTGGATGCAGCTACTGGACATGCCCCAGAGGAGTGACACTGGCTTATTTCCCCACATTTCACAGTAACCATGAAAAGAATGTTTGCTTCCTTTGGCCTTAAATGTATTTTAGTTGCAAGCTCTTTGGGGCACAGTCTGCAGCTGAATATGCTTTTCTAGTGTTATTGCAACACAGCCATGACGTATCTTGAGACCTGACAAAAATCCCAGTAATAAGTAGCTACCAAGGAACTTTTTCCATGCAACAATTTAGTTCTGTGAAAGACCACTTTCCCGAGCACTCACTACAGTACTTGTATA